TACATTCAATGCTTCAGTGAGAAAGTCTGTCTATGAGATCTATGCATATGGAAAAAATCCTCATCTAAAACTCAAGAGAAGTCCAGTGGCCTGTCCCAGAGCAGCACTGGCAGTGGCAATCACTTTACCAACAAACTCTCTCCTGTGTCTACAGCCTGCATGTACTGGTGGAGATTTTTAGAGCGGTCCAGGATTAGAAATGTGGAACTTTCCAGCTGTGGGTCTAAAGATGTAGGTTTGACAAAACAGGCATACAAAGAAAACCACAGTAAGCTATCCAACAGGCTTTTTTGTTTATTTTAGGCTGTCTTGCATTCCCTTGGAATTAATGCCACAAACTGCCCCTTGCTGTATTTGAACAAGTATGATAACCAAGGAAGGAGGCAGCCGCTCAATGCATTTGCACTGGACTTTTATAAGCATGGTTCCTTGATGGCACTGACGACCGATAACTGGTACGTACCACCCTTCCCAGTAGCGTTAAACAGCAGGACAGAAGCGTACGAAGTGCATCCTTTTGCTTTTAGTGCCTTCTCCCTCCAGAACTTAGGGATGGAATAGCTGTTAAACATGATACGATTAGTTGTTTTAATAATTAAAATTAATAAATAAAATAATAAAACGTATGCTACAATGAAGTCCAGCGGCTGTGAAGTATTAGCCAGGTGTTCAAAAAGGTACCATAAATGGGAAGTCGTGACTCCAGTGAGACAGGTCATTTTGACAGGCTCTTCAGAAGTGGGGGTTTTGTTGTTGCTATTTGTTTTTTAGTGTAATGCAGTTTTTTTCACAAGAAAAAAAAGATCGGGATTGTCCCTGAAATGAAGAAGCCCAGTGCAGTAGTGTAGAAGATGGTGACACAGCAGCAGAGATATCAAATGCTTGGTCAAATCACAAAGATAGAAACAGATCAGAGGGATTCATGATCATTGTTAAAAATATAGGCAAGAGCATGTAGAAGAAAATATTAAAACTCCAGTTGTGGAAAATCTAGAGCGTAAGTGATCCAGCCTGTAACTTTCATATATTAGTAAGAAAACATCAGTTCACTCTGCTCCCCAAGAGTGCTGTTGGGAGCATGTAATATCACCTGCTTTTTTGTAAGCTCTCAAAGATGCTGCTGATCAGAACAATCAGGATACACATCCCATGCACTGCTGTAGTTACAATAGCACAGTTTGGCACTAATGCCACATTAGCAAGAGATGAGGGAATACACTGACTGTAGAATCACATTCCTTGATGCTGAAAGCTGGTCTAGTGGAGGGTGTCCCTGCCCATGGCAGGGGGTTGGAACTAGATGATCTTTATGGTCCCTTCCAACACAAACCATTCTGTGATTATATTATTTTCAACGCAATACTGACTGTAGGATTTTTTTTTCCCCCCACAGGTCCTATTCTTAATTACTAGGAACTGATTTTATTAAGTTGCTTTTCAGTAATCAGTGGTCTGTTTTGCAAAATAAAGGGCTTTCATCATCTGTAGAAAGCTTTCGCTAGCTCCTGCTCAATTTAGCCAGCAGATTCACCTGAAGTATAGCGTTCCAGTTTAGCTTGTGACAGGTTATCCAAACCGTTGAAAACACGTTTCCAAGAAAATAATAAATTATCTTTCCAAATATTACCCAAGTCTTATATGTTTACATAATTATAGAAACATGTGTCTACAGCGTTATTTATTATTTTAAGCTTATGGTTATTCTACAGTAATCCTCATGAACTAGTATGTCAGGGTTTGAGGCCATGGGCACATGCTCTCTGCATCCTTACCCTACCTACATGGCAGGTTTTTTTAGAGGTGAAGCAGTATGTTACATTGCATATCCATTTGAATTTTTGTCTTTCTTTAGGTTAAATGAAGGAGACGCTTACTACGCACTCAAGGATTTTTCACTCCTCATTAAGTCCATTGGGTATGATAAACTTCTGCTTTTTGATATGCAATATATGTATTTCATCTTTAAATCAACATAAAATGAAAAAATGCCTTTTGTTTTTAAACCAGGACGTCACTGAGTGAACTGTGTGATGATCCAAATGATAATGTCCTACTGGCATTTCAACAACTGGCTGAAACCTATGAAAAGAAACTGAAGTCTGTTACCTGAAGAAAAAAGGCAGCAGGACGTAATACTCTTACCAACAGATCAGCTGCCTTTTACGTTAGGAAAGGCCTAGCTGAGAGTTATCAAGTATGTTTCATAATAAAGCTTTAGTTATACCCAATATTAGTAACACAAAGTTTACTTTAGAAAGTTAACCTTTACATACTGACATTTTAGCAGCTCCAATGTCAACTAAATAATTGTTTCTAACAGATGACAGAAGTAGGCGATGGGAAATACCTTTCAGTTGCACACTTTGGGTTTTTTCCAGGCAGTGATACAGATGTTAAGACAGCTCTCAAATACACTGAACAAATGTCACAGTTCTGACAGCTGGTGAGATTAGCCTCTCAGTAGGGCAGCACTGGAAACATTCAGTCCATTTGTGAAGGACATTAAGCAATTACCACATAAATTGTTCTAATTATTTTCCAAGGTTTCAATTAAGTGATGAAGTAGTACCTTTAGGAACCATTAAAATGGCTTTTAAACTAGTCTGCAGTATTAAGTGTACAAAAATCTAAGTCTAAAGAGGGTTTTATATCTGTACAATGAAGTTTGATTAATAAAATGTTCCTACCTTATGTGTAATTGCTTCATTTTTCACTTCTTGTATCCTTAAGAGCCAGAAAGATCCAGGACACCTCTAGCAAACTTGACAAAAAGTCCCTTGCAATACAAATGATTGAGTTGAGCAAAATATATTTCCTAAATATTTTGGGTTTTGCTGTGAAGAGCAAAGTTTTCAGCAATATTTTCATACTATTCCTGGAAATTCGTCAGTGTAACACTACATTTTAGTCTCCTTGTAGCCTTTGACAACAGGCCTCACTGCCACACACTATTTTATGATACTGTCCAAGGTAGTGATGCAAGTTACTCTCTAGCAATAAGCAAAATGTGCATTAAGGACAATTCAGAATCCCGTTTCTTTGATTAAGGTCTGTTGTTCATCAAACCATCACTGATGAAGGCTTCGGCTTGAAATCTCTTTTGGCATCATTAAGTTACATGTAGCATGGAAATACTAGGGGACAACCTGTATGGAAGTCAGGTAGTGCTGCTGGGCTACCATCAACTGATGCCTTTTTTTTTCCCCCCACTTTAACATGTGAAACAAAATTATGACAGAAATAGGACATAGTTGTAGGAAAGACTGCTTTATTTCTGTGTGGAAAATAAAATCTACTCAAATTATTCTTTACTGTCTGGCAAGTCATGTGGTATGTAGATAAATCTTGCACAACTAGGGCAGAAGTGACCTTATTTACACCTCTCCATGTTCATGTTTCTCAGTATAAATGGAGTAATCTTTTTAGCTAGGACACAATTAATTGGCCAAACAATAATGTCAGAAAATGGTCCTGTTGTGTCTTCAGGTATTTGACCAGCAAGCATGAAATCCTGGGTGAAAGCCAAATGTATTAGGTCTATCACAGGGTACTAATTTTATATGCTGAAGACTGTAACATCTCTCAAAGCGTTTGTAACAGGAGTCAACATTTCACTTCTCACCATGTATATAAAAAACACCTCACTCCTGTTACGGCTTTCAGTAAGGAGTCAGTAGTGAATGATGATCAAGTGATTAAGTCAAAATGACCAAGGAATCAACATGTGAAAATACCAGAAAGTCGATAAAGCTACTGATTTAATATCTGGATGGACTTAATTCTACTGTGACCCATCGTAAACAAAATATCCTGCTTACCATTTATCTCCCCTGTAAAATCTTAATGCTAAGCTATAATGCACTTAAACAAAAACTTGCCATGCTTGAGAGGCAGCCTTAGGACTGTACTGAACCCACAACCCAGCAATTTCTGCTTTCAAAAACACAGCCTGTTTGTTTTCTGATTCTACAATGGTGTCTTTTCACTAAAAAAGGCAAAGTGTCTGCTTTAAAGTGTAATTTCATCAAAGTCACATGAAATACTGTAATAGAAGTTAACAAGTGATAGGTTGAAAATAAGCAGCTTTAAGAAACTCAATAGTTTCTGAATAACCCTAATTCATTACTATTTTTTTTGTCCCTGTAGCAGAAAATAAACATTTTCTGCAACCTTCTGACAACATGTTTTATATGTGCCTTATCTGTCTCTCTAAAATTGTTCCATTTCTCTCAGTTTCGTTGTGAGATCAACCTCCATCACAACGCACAATGCTCAGCCTTTGTCTTCCAGTCATTTAACTTAATACCTTTTTGATACTTTCCTCCCACATATGCAGAACATGACAAGAACGTCTAGAGAGAAAAGCAGAACAATTCTTCGGAGAAAACTGAAATACAGTAAGACTTAACAGATAAAACACAAAGAACTATAAAACTAACAATAAAGAGAATTTTCACCACCTTCCTTACTAAAATGCAGACACACAGGGAAGACTTAATAGTTTCATAAATTCCTGGAACTATTTTTCAGCACACTTAATAGAGGAATGCACCGCCACAGAAAAATTGAGGCCAAGAATTTAAATCAAATTAAAATTAGGCCAAGGTTTCCTAAGAGTATTTCTAAGTATTCTGTCACAATAAGTATATCGCCTTGCGGAAATAGAAATTTTAAGTCGTATTTCTCTTGAAGATCATTTGGAATTTTTTTTTATTAAAAGGGAAAAAAAAGGAGATGACTATCTAGTTGCCAGTTAAAACTCCTGAAGGGATATTAAATATTCTGCTTCTGATCTAATACTTGCCAGTTGACATATTCACCTAATAGACTCTAGTTAAATAAACTAATCCTGTCTTTCTAACAGAGACACCTCAATTGTCAAGAATCAGGGAGAACAACAGCTGTAAAAATCACAGGTATCCCCACTTTTTAATGTGTCAAGTAGCATTTATTTAATTCCAGCTTATTTACGAATAGTTATCTTCAATTTCACTCTCTCTTCATGACTCCGATTGTCTTCTAGTAGGTATTTTGTCTTTGGCAACAGAAAAATACTCCGATGCAGTGCTGGTATCAACAGAGGCAGATGTTTGACTTTGCTCTTCAGTGTCAGAATTGCTGTCCCTTGGCATTCCTCCTGCCTCATTTACTGCAAGCACAGAACAAGCTCCTAAAGATGGATCATTGCATGTGCCAGGAACTGAACAAGCTGCATTCGGAAGCTGAACAGACACAGGTTCGTCTTCCCTGCCAGGACAGGAAGAGTTGTTTTCTGCAACAGTTTCATTCTCTTCATCTTTCACCTTTATTTCTTGTTTTGTTGCTGTAATAAATGGAGCAGAAGGTGCATTCTCGTATTTGAGAGGAAGGACAACTGAACAGAAAGGCTGACTACAAGACGAGTCACTATCAGCAAGCATTTCTGCACTTTCAGTTTTCTTAGAGGAGTTCATGGGCAAGAATGAACCTTCCCATTTTGGATGACTATGTCTAGAAGCAAGCTCTGCACACTCTGTAGATTCAGGCTTCCCTAGATTTAGAGCTGTTTTCTCAGGAGATTTCACCTTCTCTTTTTCCATTTTTTCAGTAGCACTTCCAGACCAACACATGGAGGAAGTCAGTGAATCAGAGGTAGAGTGGTCTGATAAGGCTGGAGTGGTTACTTCCTGGGAACTTCTCTCATGAAAAAATTTTAAGTCACCATTTGTTTCAGAGAAGTACATATTTGTGGATGGGATGCTGTGACTACTTGTTCCAGAAAAGCTTCCCTCAAAGCCATCTGCTCTCTGCAGGGTTCCCATTTTTACTTTATCTGCGTTATTTACTCTGGTAGGTGAAGATACAAAGGGAGTTCCTGAGGACCTATCCTTAAAAGCATCAGCCGTTACAAAATTACATGTTTTATTTGCAGGTAAAGTTTGTGTCTTGAACTCACTGGTAAGCTTCTGACGTTCCACATAGTATTTGTAACGCAACTCCTACAATTACAGCAAAGAATCCCATTAAGTAAAACAGCATTTGTAGATTCCAAGGTTATAAAACTCACATACAATCCTAAGAGTGAAGAAAAGGCTGTCTATGTTCTGCAACATTTACGATGTGTTTTTCCATTGCTGCTAGAGGGCAGCAGAACACAAGTCATTAGGGAAGAGTTCTTTAAAAACTATTGAATAAGATACACATGGAACCCTGGTGACAAAGTAGGTTTTGGAATAGGAGACTACGGGGAACTATTTAAGCCACTGCCAAAACCATAAATAGCTAAAAATAGGAGGTTAGACATTAAGTGACAAATTTTCAAGGTTTAAGAATAATAAGAATAAATAAAAAGAATAATTTAGGTGGTGGTTAGTATTTTTTTTTTACTAGATACAGCAACTACATAAACTGTATTCTCAATGGGAATAGAAAACAGATGCTCTCTACAAGAATGCAGCGAGAGAAATATAGTTCTGTATTTAAAGGACCTAAGCAACTTTTTCATGTAATCGTCTGCTGCCGGTATTCTCAGAACAGAGATAATGCGATTCACTGCCAGCCACGCTTCACTAACCGTAACTGAAGTTATCTGCACAGAACAATACTCACTCGGCCACCCACACAGAACCGCTGATAACTGAAAACAACCCTAGAGGTATACTAGATCAATGAAAACGAAACAAAAGATATTGCATTCAGTTTCATGTCAGATTATCATTAGGCAGTCTTAGAAGAATGAATTCCATGATCTATTCTTTTCTCTATTATCTAAAATAGGCAATAGAGAAGCTTCTTTGGATTAAAATCTACCGATGGGACTCAAAAAAGCATGCTAAAATTTAAAAATAAGTATTTGAAGTCAGTAGCAAGATGAAGTTCCACCTTTCTGGAGGAAAAAAAAAAAAAGTCATGACAATTTTAATAACCCAGTCAGATTTACATTCTAGAACTGCAAGGGTAACCTCCTACTTAGAAAACTGAAGAAGATGATAAAAGCTTATTTAGAGTTGTGTACTAATGAATAGTAACTTGGCCATACTTACAACAGATGTTCAACCATACCTCATGACTCATGTTTTGAAATGCTGACATTTCTGATATTGACATTAAGCGAGTACAGATCCTGCTACCGTCTGCTAGTGCTTCCTCCTGTCCTGCTACAGGCTGAAAAATGTTTTGCAGCAGACATTACAGTCCATTTTGGTAAGACAGAATAAACAAAATAGTACAGTGCTGTAGCCACAGAGTCAGTAACTTACAAGAAATGAGCTGGGTACATCCTTCTGGTCTTGCCATTGCTTTATGTTATTTTTAAACAGAGTATTTTTTGTTGAGTTCTCGTTTATTCCAGAAGGCACATCTGTTGGGAAGAATGCAAGAATACTGCTGAAGAGCATGTTAAGTATGGAGAATACTGAAATGTGCCTGAGCATCTAAACATAGATTCCAATTAAGAACAGAAGTATATTGCCCTAAGTGAGACCCCAGTACTTGTTTAAACTTCTGTGATACAAAGCAAGAGGCATGTGTAAGAAATTCTCTAAAAGCTTGGAGATGCCCACCCTGATACAAACCCTAACATTTTCTCCTATGAGGTAAAAGGATTTAATCAGAGGTAATTAACGTTCATACTACAGTACAATGAATGTCCATCTAGTTAAGCAACACACTTCTGACAGTGGCTGTGTGGGAAAATTGTAATGATACTTCCCCCAGCTTCCAAAAATACAGCCTAGGCACTTTCTAGAGAAAGCACATTCATAAAACACATTTAAAAGCCTTCAAAAATTTATCATCCATTAATTTGCTCAGATGCTTTCGGAACACTCACACACTTCTGCCATGCGGACTTTTTTATCAGCAATTAGTTTCACAAGTTGCAGGTTCCTATAGTGACTTCCCAAATTTTGTCCTATATTAAGTGCTTCTTCCCTACCTTTAGCAATGCCTGTGTTAACAGGCATTAACTTCAAAGCCAAGATTTCATTAACCACAGGTTTGATATCCATCCTCTTTTGAATATACTCTGGTGGTTTTTCATAGCTGGATGCTATGTTCATAAGGTCAAGCTGAGTTTTCATTCTGGAAAAGGAAAACAAAAAAAACCAACCCAAACAAACATTTGTCTTCATGCTCACATGTCAACAACTAAATTACATCTGCCTAATTAAAAAAAATAATTAAGAAATCAGAAAAAAGTTTTCAATAAATTGTTGTGTCTTAGATTATTTTTTTTTCTTAAAACTTACTACTTGATGATTCACTTGAATTAGATTTCATAAACAACGGAAATTGCAAGGAGTGCCTGTAGGTTAACAGAAAGATTAAAACCACACTCACTTCCCCTGGCGTACCTGGTATACCTGGATCTAAATTATGCTCTTTCTTCAGAGGGTATTGCTAATGCTAGACTGAACCACAACATATTTCAAAGAACTCCATTTCCAATATTCTTTCTTAAACTCTGCTTAAAAAGTGATAAGAAATGTAACTAAGAACCTTTAGAAAGAAATATACAGGGTACGTGCCCTGCAAACACATAACTGAGGACACCGCGGAAGCTCCACGCACGCTCTCAAACTTCAAGATTTCTGTAAAAGGCACGTTTCAGTGTTTATGAGATTTATTAAGATATCTAAAAATATCCAATCACCATGTTACTGAATTACTATGCTCAGCTTTTTCAAGGGGCCAGTTCAAAAGATTGATTATCTCCAATCCCAAATATTACATCACTAAAATTCTTGACATATTTCCTAAAATTCAGAATATGGAGCATCCAAAGAGCTGAAAACATAATAATGTCTTAATTAATAAATACTATTTTCATTTTAAGTTGCTAAATCTACCATATCCAAAGTAACTTTTTTCTTAGTTTTTATTCTTAAAATCACACTAGAGAACTAAAAAAGCATTAAAAAAAATAATCTGTACCTTGCATTCAAGCCACAGGCCACCTATAAATGAAACAAGAATTTGTAAGATACGAATTAGTTTTCCTCCAGCCGTCAAAAGGAGATTATTGCTTATCAAAACACTTCAAGGACTGAACTCCCTATCTTCATTTCACAGAACTACAGGAAATAAATCTGTTAGCATTCAAAAAAAAAAAAACAAACCCGAAAAAAAGAGCATTCAAATGTTAAAAAAAAAAGGTATGCCTGGGACAGTGACTTGTCTTGGTTATTTTGTGTTAAATACAGAAAGAACTCCTTCACAGCCAAAGGAAGGTGTTCAAATCATGACCCATTTGGCTATGTAATCCATTTCAGATTTTCAGATATTTGTAAACATTCTGATGAAAGACTGTTTTGTATTTCTTGGTGAGGGAAGCCCTTGCTACCTGCTCGCAAGATGCTATTACACGGTGATTAGAAAAAGCTGTCTTGCAGCTTTATATCAGCTAGATAATGGCAGTGTGAAGTGCAGCGGGCTGCAGTCTAGTGACACCTCCCAAAGAATGGGTAGTGAAAAACTGACTGGATTATAGAATAGCTGCTTCCTTATAAAAACCTGGTGATCTCATAGTACTGAGTCTTACCACAACAAAACCCCACCTCACTGGAATGCAGCACAGGCAGAGAGGTGCTAAGTGTAAAGCATACTGGAGTCAGAATATTTCTTCCAAAACTGGGAGTCATGTTTAGGTAAAAGTGAACTTTTCCTTAAGAAGCTGTTACTAGAAACTTAGTCAAACTTTAAGTATTTTCTTGGCTTCTCATTTATCTGAAGGCAGCAAAAAGATCCATTGCAGAAAACAGCAATATGCTGCGATTTCTTCAGAAAGCATAACCCTTGAAGTTAAAGAAAACACAAGATTCAGTAGTTATTTTGCCCCATATCTACCATCTGCCTAAATTCTATACAACTGCAGCCACAGCATTTGATATAAACGGGATGAAGTCTACATTAGCGCAGGTAACTGAAGATTAAACTGGTGTCTTGGGTTCCTCTAGCATTTATCTCTAAATCAGAAGCCCCGTTTTTCTCTGCAGTTCCCTTAAACACTAGGGGGAAGACTTTCAGGGTCTTGCATACAGAAGTGTATATGCTGCGTTGTACAGCCTATGTCAGAAGTACCTCCGCTGGCTTGGAATAGGCTGATTTACCTCCACAGCACACCTGGGTGCAAAGTTTACAGCAGGTTTTAAAGTCAGTATAATCACCTCAACTCAGGTACCCAAACACAGTACTCCAGTGTGCAGCACAGACAACTTACTGGTTCTGGCTCAAATCTTTCCTCGCTAAGTACTTTTAATGCCTTACAACTTCAAAAATGCAATGGAAGTGCTTAATACACAAAGCATTTGAAAAGAAATACGGAAAAGCAAATAGATGTGAGAATTCTGAAGGCAGCACTAGTAAATAACTCCCTACCCAGCACCGAGGCAGCTTACTTTCAGAGCGGGTAGTGTAACAGCAAGTGTTACGGCAACGGCTCTACAGTCAATATTCACTTCATTCGTTTTTAAAGAGAGTAAGTGTCTATTGACTTCACTAAGTATCACTGATACGCTGCAAAGAGAGCTTTTCAAACTTTTCTAAAATGGAAAGCACTGTTATAAAAAGAAAAAACAACCCCCAAAACAACAAAGCTATGAGGTGTTAAATAATTTTAGTCTGTATTTTCCATTTGCTGAATTTTAGTCTGTATTTTCCATTTGCTGAATTTATTTTTCTTGACCAATCATTATCATCATCTGCAATACAGCAGGCTCTATGTCACATCTGCTAGCTGTTGTATCATAGACCTCAAATAATAACAAAAAGGCCATCACCTCCAGGAAACGCTGAGGATCACGCTCATGGACAAGTTTGTCACAGTCCTTCAAAAAATTCTCAGTGGTCTTCTTGTGAGTTTCCTTCATTTTCTTCCAAATCTGAAATTCTTTCTCTTTTTTAATTCTTTCACTTTCAACATCTTCTAGCATTTGCCATTTCTTCATTTCCAGAGTTTTGAAAATTTCTCCAAATTCCAGTGCAATTATCTCTGCATCATTGTTCAGCACCATCTAGAAGCATGAGAACATCAAACGAGATGAAAATGCAGTAGTATTGTCCACGAGGAGTCACTTCCCTAAGTAAGCTCAGAGCATGTCTATGCCACAAGAAGCACCAGTATGCTCCCCATTGTGATTAACCTATCACGAGAAGAGCATACAAAGGCATACCTGTATTATCCAGCGTCTGTAACTCACCTCCGTATCATTTGGTTGATTTGAGATCTCATTCATTAGCTTCTCATTTATCATTCTCATTTTTTTCAGACTGTTGAAGAAGGTTAACTGCAAGACAGTTAAAAAATGTTAAGATGACTTTATCCACTCCATAAAAGAAATACATTTCAGTAGGTATCTAGAAACGCATCATGGGATGTTCTGCACAACATATTAAACACAAGCTGTGATTCAAAGCATCACTTAACATTTAATGCTTTCCTGGATCAGTTCACAAACTAACTTTTGCTATTTCTCTCTCAAAGTAATGTTAGGCTGACCTGCAATGCGTATTGCCAGAATGGCTACAGGGTTACTTTAGAGTTAAAACTATTTCCCTCCCTCAGCCTTGTTTTTTAACCTCTCCCCTCACAACTCTATCACAATGTGTTAATGCAGTCTGAGAAGCAACCGGTTTTTTTCCTGCTTCACACCACTACAATAGAAAGCTTTCCCTAACGGAGTTACTTTCACTTGGTTTTAAACTATGATTATCACTGATTTTTCCTCCTTTACCTCACTACATTATCACCAAGTGCTACATAAAGTCTGCTGCCAAGACCCTTTGTTTCCTGAGTGACATGCAACTGGTGATGTTAGATGCAGAAGGAAAAGCTATACAAAAGCAGCTTTTGGCTAAAAGAATAGTCAGTGCTGTACTTAAACTTTCATACCTATACTCTTTCTTCATCATTGTCCTGCAGTTGTTTCAATTACTGCACAGCAGAACTGCTCTTTAGCATGCCATCCCGCACCCAACTTGGATAGGGCATGAAAAGCTTGTTCTACCCGAATGGTAGATATTTTGGCAAAAATCACAACTACTACCACTACACTCAGTCATTAGGCCAGGCAGTTGCTCTCTTCATGCAGACAGGAGTGTATTTTGGTTTTACATGTATTCAATTACTGCTCACCTAAACCTTCTATTTCTAAATATGTAATTATGTATGACCCAAATTACCTATGCCAGCTCAGAAAGTCTGTAAACAAAGTATCTGTGGGTGGTTTTTCGCCTTTTTTTTTATTTGTTTGTTGTTTTTTCTTTTTGTTAGTAGAACTAGCATCTTCCTGAACTTGGGAAAACTGGATCCAGACATGCAATAAACTCTTAGCATCAGGGTGTTTTTTCAGCAAAGACTGCAAGTATCTTAAAAAAACAACCAACCAACCAACCCAACCAACCAAAACCCCCCACAACCCTTCAGGTGCTTTGGTTAAGCTGGGTTCCGGCCTACTGACACTGCCATATCGCCCGGCCCCCCACACCGCGCTTTCCCCCTCGCAGAAGCCAGCCGGGCCCGGTAGGATGCCCGCAGGACAGCCCGCCCTCCCCGCCCGGCGCCCAGGGGCAGCGCCGCGCTTACTTTTTCCTCCTGGTACACGGTGTCTACGAGGTTGACGGAGTGGAAGATGCCCT